GTAACAAGGTGGTTCAGGTTGAAGTAGATGCTGTTTTTGCTGCTTACGTTGATGCTTTTGACATGCATCACAACTTTCAACAACTTTGATTATGTCCTTCGTAATTCCAGGCCAAAACACCGCAGATCTTGCTTGGAGCAGACATTTCTCTTGTCCTAGATGCCCTTCATGTATCGGACTTGTAAGGACTTCTTCTCTAAGATTTGGCGGCATAACTATGCGCTCTTGCTTTAGGATGAGGCCATCCTCAATTGTAAGTTCTTCCCTAAAGTTCCAATAATCGTGGAGCAATTGAGGGCACCGTTCTCTCGTGGCTGGCCATCCTTGGTAAACTACCTCGCGTAGTTTATTCAAAACTGGATCATCTGCAGTCTCATTTCGAATTTGCTGCAGCTTTACAGGAGAAGCTGGAAGGGTGTTAGTAATCTGGTGGATATCTAGTTGTGGAAGTTGACCTTTGAGTGGTTCAGCTTGTGGTGATACTCTGGACAGGGCATCAGCGATAGGTACTTGTTCACCTTTCACATACGTCACGGTTACGTCATACTTGAGTGCTCTTAACACGAATCGTTGTAGTCTGGATGGGCAGCTACTCAATTTCTTCCTAAAGATTGTTTCCAAGGGCTTGTGGTCGGTGTGCACAGTACACTTCTTTCCATACACAAAGTAATGAAATCGTTCTAGCCCCCAAACAACGACAAGTGCTTCACGCTCAATGTTACTGTACCTTTGCTCAGCTTCTGTGAGAGCCTTAGACGCATAACACACGGGTTGACCTCCTTGTAGAAGCACTGCGCCTAAGCCTTTGAGAGATGCGTCAGTTCGAATGGTTGTTTCTGCATCAGGGTCGAAATATCGGAGTACGCCCAGCGAGGATACTTCCTTCTTCACTTCATCAAATGCGCGGGTATGCTCTGGCCCCCAACAATACGCAACATCTTTCTTGGTTAGATCGCGAAGTGGAGATGATAGGGTAGCCAGACGTCCGGAGTACCTTGTTAGATAGCTTACTAAACCGAGAAAGCTCTGTAGACTTTTTGCATCTTCCGGCGGCTTCATACCAAGGATTGCTGATACTTTCTTATTATCAGGCTTCATACCCTGTGGTGTCCAAGAGTGTCCAAAGAAACTCACTTCCTTACACTTGAACTTACACTGCAACTTCTCCCTATTAAACACCACACCCTTTACTTGTGCTCTTTCCATAAGCTTGACTAGGTTTGCGTCGTGCTCTTCCTCTGAAGATCCATATACAAACGTGTCGTCTGCTATACCAGTGATGCCATCGAGGCCTTCAAATGCTGTGTCCAGCTGCTTCTGGAATATATCTTGAAAAACAACAAGACGGGTAATCGGTTGAAACGATAACGGCCAAAAGGAGTGCTGAAGGTTGTGAGGTACGAGCTTTCTGTATCCAGAGGTACGTGCCAGTACCCCTTCCTTGTATCTACTACAGTGAAGAATGTAGCATCTTTTAGCCCTGTGACCACCTCATCAATTGTCCTCGTGCGATAGTGCTCTCTTTTAACCCACTTATTCAAGTCACGGGAATCCAGGCAAAGTCTTACCTTTACTATCTCTCCTTTGCTGTTGGTTGTCTCGCTCAGCACAACACTATTAACCCACTCTGTCGGTTTCTCAACTGGTGTTATAACACCAAGTTTTAACATATTGTCAATTTCCTGCTTGAAGTGGTCCCTAAGGTGCACTGGAACTTGTCGCGGTGGGTGGATAACTGGTTCTGCATCTGGTTCTAAGGTGATATGGTATGGCTTCATATCCTTGAATGTACCTAGTCCCTCAAGTCTATCCGGGTACTCTTTCAACAGAGTCTCTTTAGTAAGAGGCGTAGCCCTCTTAACAACATTTTGTGAATTCGATAGAGTTGGTGTGCTCGCGTGCACATGCATTATTTTACAAGGAATCTGTACCAATCCCGGGTCACGCGATGTTTGACAACCTAGTATGGCAGGTCCTTCGACATCCGTAACATTAAATACTATTGGTTTAACTTCATCCATATGATGTATATATAACTGACAGGTGCCAATGTTCCTAATCTCATGACCTCCATAAGCGGTGATTTTTTACAAGCCACCTTCGTTTGGGATTGGGAACAATTGTTTCATAGTCATGTTTAGATAGAACATTCAGTTCTGCACCAGTGTCAATTTTACATACTACTGGGGTGGTATACTTGTGGTAAGGCTCTGCAGTCAGATGGGTTTCAATCAGTACTTTCTTTCTCTGCTCTGTACTAAGGCTATTAATTTGGTTTGGGTTAGCACCAATGTTCGGACACTGTTCTGCTAGTAAAGTACCAAGAAATATTTTTTCATCAATATCTGGTTCATTTGAATTGCTATCATCACGCTCAAGTGAGTTACAGTTTGTTTTGATTGCCTTGAAACACATATTTTGGTAATGACCAGTTTTCTTGCATCCAAAACATTGTGCCTTAATAGCAGGACATTTCTGATCTTTATTGTGTGTTGTATTCCCACATCTAGTGCATACTGGCTTATCCCATTTCATTTTATATCCCTTTTGTCTATCATACAATGGTTTGGTCTTACCTCGATTCATGTTTCCTCTCCTGTTTTTCTGCAATGAGTCTACCTGTATAGGGTTTGAAATATCACTGGTCATCACCTTTAGCTGTTGTCTGGTAGCTTCCTCGGTGCGGGCGATTTCTCTTGCTTTTATAAGAGTTAGTTCATTCCCTTCAGCAATACATTTCTTACGGACTGTATCTGAATCAACTCCAAATACCAAAGCATCTCGCATCAATTTGTCATGTATTTCATCCGGATAACCACTGTTCTGAGTAAGGAGGTTTGCTTCGGTTAAAAACTCGTCGAGCGGTCGGTTGTTCTGCTTCAAGTTTCTGAGATAGAAACGGTTGAGAAGATGGTTGGACTGAGGTTTTACGTGCTGTTCAAATCTTTTCCAATACTCGTCTAATTTGTCTTGATCGGCTTCACTCAAATTTCATGTATTATAGAGATCAAGACCATAATCTCCTACCCATAGGAGAACATATCGACATTTCTGCTTCACAGTTCGATCTTTCAAAAGGCCATCAAACAGTAATTCACACTTCTGCCGAAATCGCTTGAGCCGTTGTGGCAGATCTGGTCCGGGTGTCCAATCGATTCTTGGCGGTTCAAAGCCAGCTAGATCACTCATTTTGTTAACAGGTAACCAAGTACTTATTGTGTTGGGTTTCTAGACCTTCTAGTCATCAATCCCGTACCTGACACCATGTAAACTTGCACGTTTTATTTGAAACTAGCTCAGTTTATTGAAAATATGTTACAATATGGCGGCTATGGTGAGTACGCGTGTTTATATAACAGTAGGAGATTGGATCTAGTATTACGTACAGGAAGTTAATATAACCGGAAGTGTGACACGTCTAAAAAAATATTTTCAAATTTATAAACTATAAAGCTGTTGGGAAGTTTGGTTCGAATTTTAGGTTAACCTAGTGTTAGCTAACTGACCCCAGTAGCTTTCATAACATGGCAGAGTTTTGTAAGAGATGCAACTACCTGTAAAAATACAAAAAGGACTTCGACATTTTGAGCACACCCTCGTCATTTGGTTACAAACTTCCAGACGAAGGTCCTTCGCTCGAAGTTCTTTTTGTATTTTTCAGGTAGTTATATATGTCCTACACAACTCTGCTGTTTATACTCAACGCTACCTAGACTGGCACCATCAATGGTCGGCTATAATTATAGCCATGATAGAAACCCAAAGTTTTATATTGTTATTTTGATTTGATGAAAATGCCAATGATAATAACACTATGAGCTCGCGCGTCATCTTCCAGAAAATCTTAAGCTTATAAGCTTATGCATTACGAGTTACGTTCCTAAGTTACGTTTCGGATGGCCTGTTCTTCTATCACTTCCATGCACAAGTTAGCAACAATTGCGCTAACAGAGCTGCCCATGGCACATCCATGAATTTGTTTGTAGGTGGTGTTGTTATAAACGAAATAACTATTAGATAAAACAAAATATAAAAGTCGAATGATGTCGTCAATGTCGAGTTGAGTTCTGTCAGGAAGTGTCGGATCGTTTTCTAATTTCGTTCTAATATATTTGCATGCTTTGTCAACAGGAATGGCTGTAAAGAGTGAAACCACGTCAAATGAAATCATGTATTCGTCTTCGTCTATGGTAATGTTTGAAATTTCGTGTTTGAATTGAGTTGAGTTAGCTACTGAAAAGCCGTTTTTGTTTTGAAGTGGAGAAAGTATTTTGGTAAGGAATTTGGAAGTTTCGTAAAGAGCTGAGTCGATACAAGTAACTATAGGTCTAAGTGGGTAACCTACTTTGTGATGCTTGATGGAGCCTCTGATGGCTGGAGGGATTGCGTCACTTGAGTGTAGCTTACGGTAAGTATTCTCGGGAATTTTCTCTTGATTCTTCAGGTTAAGTAGCATGGCATTTAGCCCTCGTTCTACTCGTTTGAATGGTGGCTTAGGTATGATAGCGTAGGTCGCTTCATCTTTCAATAGGTTTTCCATCTTCTTGTCATACTCGTCTCGGTTCATGATGACTAAACTGTTACCTTTGTCGGCTTTCATGATAATTCTTGTCGTGCCTGTTTCAAGTCTTTCAGCGCTTTTCTTTCGTTGATGTTTATGTTTTTGTGCGGAAGGATGCGTGCTCGGTCTAAGATGGAAGCTGTATTTGTAAGTATAATGTCTTTAGTTTCGTCTGGTAGATCTTTGATCGCTGTTTCAACTTCCGCAATGATGTTTCTGTGTGGAATCTTTGCAGGTGTGATGGCGAACTTCGGTCCTTTTTCAAGAAGAGAGCGTTCTGCGTCGGTAAGAGGTTTCTTCGATAGGTTTATCACGGACGTATTCCGCTTTGTGGCATTCGTTTCTTTGTTATATTCATTGTTCAAATTAGAATGTTTCTTTGCATGTCTTGCGTTGATGGTGTCGCGGACAGACTGTGCACGCTGTTTCAAGAATTCATTCAAGTTCTTGAATGTATCTACGGGTAGGATAGACGTAAGTTCTATTCTGGTGTGAAGCATTCGTTTCTTGATTGAGTTGATTTGACTATGACAAATAGAGATTCTTGCTTTCATGCAATGTTTGCTTGCTCTCTCCATTATCTGCTTGAATATAACATTATTACCAGGAGGATTGAAACGTAAAGATTTCAGGAACCAACCATTTTCAAGAGCATATTGAGTGAATTTTAGGTGACGGTGGTGTGCTACGAGTTTATAAGCATCCTTTTCTAGAACTCCTGCTAATTTGAGAACTTCTCGGCCAGCCGTTCGGCGAATAATTGAAAAAATAGAGGATGCGTAGCCAGGTTAAAACATTATTTATTGAACGTTCTCTGACTTAATATTTATTTCTACGAGCTTTCGGCTGTCAGTGTATAGCCTTCGACGGGTGTATACAAATGATTCTATAAAGGACGCTAAACTTAAGTAGGTGGTATGAAATCTGAGACTATCTATGCTATGTTACAAATGGGTAATATGAATATTTAATTAATGTTTCTTGAGTTCCTTTCTTAAAAGTATTGTGTATTGTGCTGGAAGCGTATTAGAGTTATTATCAGCTTCGTCTGTTAGTGCAGTGTGCCAGGACTCTAAGGTTTTAAGGTTTCTATGATTTCCCTTGTCTATCACTTTAGCATTGGCAAAGTCAATTACATGATCTTGAGTCCATGCGTGTTTTGCAACATTCGATCCCTTCTTGCTTTGTTTTACATTCCTTCCGTGTTCAGACTTTCTCGTCTTCAGGGATCTTCCTGTTTCGCCTATGTAGCTCCAACTACAATCTTGACACGGTATTTGGTAGACCACGTTCTTTATTTTGCTCTTCAATTGGTGGTTTCTGTTTTGCAGATGGAAACTGGCGTTCGAGGTTTTTCACTGGCTTATTGTAAACTTTGATGTCATGTTTTTGGAGTGTTCTGGATAGGGGTTCGGTTAGTCCTTTGATGTAAGGTAGAACCGCGATTCCTGCAGCTGGCGACTTTCCTTCGACTAATTCGAAAAATGACCGGACTAACTCTTCAGGGCTTACTACAGTTTTGTTCTTACGTTTTTTGATCAATCCTGAAATTAATTTCTTTGGATAGCCATTTGATGCCGGTGTCAAGCGAAATTCCTGACCTCTGCTAAATACCTGACCTAGCGTGACGGGTCAGAAATTTCGCGCGTACAGGCGCGAAATACATGAGGCTTGCTAAATTCTAAGTCGGCCAAAACTGTTTTTTAGAGTTTAGATAAAATAATCATGATGTTAATTTCTAATACTTCGTTAAATATTTCAAATCGACATCGCTAAGTTTCAATCACAAACACTTTAAATTTCAAAGCGAATTGTGTGGTCGATCGTGACCGCGAAATACACGACGTTTGCTAAATACGGTCGGTCGAAACGATTTT